GTTTAATTATTAGCTTCCCATTGCCACTATCTGTAACTAGCAAATATATTTTTCCTTAATCCTTCTGATTTTGTGGGTTAGTTCTTTTTTAGTAAATATATTTAATACAGTAAAACCTGCAAAAGCCAGAACCTGTGTAAGGCAAAAACCTGTCAGAGAAGGAAAACTCAAATATTTTCCACTAAAACGAGTTGTCTTAGTCATCTAGTGTTGCTATAACAGATACTACAAGTGGATGGCTTTAACAAAGAGAAGTTTATTCTCTCACAGTCTGGTAGGCTAGAAGTCCAAATTCAGGGCACCCCCTTTAGGGGAAGGCTTCCTCTCTCTGTCAGCTCTGGAGGAAGGTCCTTGTCCTCAATCTTCACCTGGTTGAGGAGCTTCTCAGCACAGGGACCCTGGGTCCAAAGGACGCACTTTGCTCCTGGCTCTTGTTTCTGGGTGGTATGAGGTGTCCTGTCCCCCACCCACCTCTGCTCGCTTTTCTCTTTTACATCTCAAAAGAGATTGGCTCGAGACAGCAATCCAATTGTGTAGATTGAGTACTGCCTCATTAACATAACTGCCGCCTGTCCCACCTTATTAACATCATAGAGGTAGAATTTACAGCACATAGGAAAATCGCATCAGATGACAAAATGTGGACAACTGTACAATACTGGGAATCATGGCCTAGCCAAATTGACACACATATTTTTGGGGGACACAGTTCAGTCCATGACACGAGTGGTAGAAAAGTGGTAAGACTACACCTTGTCAATGGTGGAAAACTTGCAAGACCTGGAAAAACAAGGCAGTCCCACTGAGTTCCTGCTCTCACAGGTTTCACTGTATTAGTTATCAGCATTGTCAGCCACTGAGCTTTTTCTTCTCTATGGGAAAACTGTTTCTTATTCTACTAAAGAGTACCTAAATTTTGTGTTGCAGAAAGCTCTAGTGCTCCCTCCCACCAAGAGCCAAGAAATATGCTTTTATTTGTATAAAATTAAACAGATAGTTGCACCTTCCATCTTCAATATTCAAGTGAGTCTTAGAGATTCTGTGAGTTAGTAATTTAGTCTTGTCTCTTTTTTCACATTCCTACTGTAAATAAATTTCAGACAATACCAGAAAAGCAAAAGTCCCTCCTGGCTGTCCTCGTGTTATCAGTTTGGTTGGTACCTTCCAGGCCTTGTTCAGGTTATTTACATACATAAATATTGAAACACCTAGAAATATAAAGGTTGCTTTTTCTTTATATAAATGTAAGCGTATTGTTTACATATTTCATTTTGCGCCTAACAGTATGTCTTAAACCTCTCAGCATTAGTATATATAAATTTCTCGTATCTTTTAAAAATATTCTAAGGTACTACATATTGTGACCGTGTTACAAGTATAGGGAATTCACTTTTGACTTTTTTATCTGACCTTTTTTAGAGAATTTACTTGTACTATAGAAAATCACAGATTATTTTATTTACAAAGTCATGTTAATTTTAAGCAATAATTCAAGTCTTCTGAGTTGTGAGATAAATGTAGCGTATCTTTCTCAGAATATTTATAGACATTTAAGCTGTAGGGATTTGAAATAACTTACAAGTATCAACCCATTTACTTTAATTTCTTTGTAAGTTAGATACCATGAATGTATCCCCATTTTACAAATGGAGAGAGAAGACCTTTCTCCATTTGTAAAAAGTACTGTAGT